TTGTGCATGTAAACGTACTGACTTTCACCAGCATGCACAACACCCACTCCCAGCATGCACTCTGAGAGCCCAGCTGAAGTTCTTTACCCCGAAGAGCATCATAGAAAACTAAACTTAATTGTGAGTGAAGGGGGAAAAATGGAGCTGATCTGTTGAGAGCCCTCTGACAGCACTGTGTTCAGAACACACTGAGATATCCCGCTGATGAAGTCAACAGGATTGAGATGGAAAAGGAAATACACAGGGAAGTACAGATAAGATGGGCGCCACCGCAAAGTCTTTCTCTTACACGCAGGAAATTCACTGGACGTCTCCTCTGGCTCTGACTGATCCGCATGTTGAGCTGAACAAATCCCGAGAGAAAAGCCTCTCTTGATCCGACCCGGCTAGCCAGGCTTTACCAGAATACAGTAACTCTGCAGCGCCGAGTCTTTTCAGCACTTTCACAAACAACAAACTTTAAAACAGACAAATTTCTGCAGAGCAATATTTCCACACACAAACGGACCGAGACTGAATGTTGAATACGCTTTAATCTTGATGTCACGACTCATAGGGGTGGGCGATGCCACAAAATCTAGTTTAGACCTGATACCAAGTACCACAGGGCCAGAATCACTGATATCACTGATATCAATACCAATAAAATACTTTTTAGCCTAAGTAACAACAAATGATGAGCAATATACCTCTGAACAGACTCAGTCAGTGAACTGTGTGTCTGTGTCGGATGCCGAGGTGTTTCCCTCCTTCTCCCTTCTTGTCGGCTGCAGCCTCAAGTTCTCTTTCTCGTGGTTTTATTCTTGTCTCATTAATGTGTGTCAGATAAAACCAGTCAGGTTTGGACAATCTATCCACACTGAATGTCTGTGCAAAGCTACAGTCACATGGCTGCGCACGCCGTTCCATTCATAGATATCATATACAGTAGATACCTCGTTGACGGCTTCGGCCCGTGTCAGTGATGCGTCAACGTCGCCGCCATCTTGGGGAGGTCACTGCCGGCTGGCCAGTACTGCTGTGTATGGAGATAAGTCTAAATTTGTCACCGTACCTCAAATCAGAGAAAACAGAATTAGCCAGTGTGGGTTTTACAGTCGACATCCGCGGCCGAGGAGAGCTCGCCATTGGGTGATACCCTTCCTTTTACCTCATCCTTCATCCCTTCATCACTCAACCATCATCCCTAGACCCTCATCCATCCATCCCTCTCTTCATTCCCCCATCCCCTCATGCCTTCATCCATCAACTGTCATCTTGTCATCCCTGAACCCTCATCCCTTGAGCATCATCCCTTCATCTTTCATCCCTCCATCCTCATCCTTTCATTTCCTACATCCCTCAACATTCATTCTTTCATTCTGCTCTTCCTTGACCCTCATCCATTCATCCCTCAACCCTCATCCATCCATCCATCCTCGTCCTTCATCCCCTCATCCCTCCATCCCTCAACCCTCATCTTTTCATCCCTGAAACTCTCTTCATCTCTTGACCCTCATCCATTCATCCCTCACTGCTCATCCCATCATCCCTCATCCCGCATCCATCCATCCTTGTCCTTCATCCCCTCATCCATTCATCCCTCACTGCTCATCCCCTCATCCAATCATCCCTCAACCCTCATCCATCCATCCTCGTCCCTCATCCCCTCATCCCTTCATCCCTCAACCCTCATCTTTTCATCCCTGAAACTCTCTTCATCTCTTGACCCTCATCCATTCATCCCTCACTGCTCATCCCATCATCCCTCATCCCGCATCCATCCATCCTTGTCCTTCATCCCCTCATCCATTCATCCCTCACTGCTCATCCCCTCATCCAATCATCCCTCAACCCTCATCCATCCATCCTCGTCCCTCATCCCCTCATCCCTTCATCCCTCAACCCTCATCTTTTCATCCCTGAAACTTCATCCCATCATCCCTCGACCCTCATCCTCCCATCCCACATCCAGGATCCATTCATCCTGTCATCCCTTCATCCTCATCCTCTCATCCTTCCCTCCAGACTCTTGATCTTGATCTTTATCTTTGTTGGTGTGCTTTTTGTTAAATGAATGAATGAATGAATGAATGAGTTACATGAATGTTGAACACAGAGCAGGTTGAGGAGGACGTTGTTCAGAAAGGCGAGAACAACAACACACTCTCCAGTTGATGACATCATCTTGTGTGTGTGTGTGTGTGTGTGTGTGTGTGTGTGAACTGTGCAGTCTCTCCTTTGCTGTAACATGTGTTTCTGTAGCTGCTGTGCAGTTTAATGTCCACACAGCTCCATGTTGTCTGCCTCTGTGATGATTTTATTCTGCTTTTGATTCTGTGACAGCTTATTTAATTTGTGCGGCTGAATATTGCTTTTTGCTCCCGCTGCTGCTGCTGCTCATAGACTTTTTATTTATTGTTGGTGTTTTTCAGCTGCGTTCGGTCTCTGTTGTTGTTGATTCTAGTGAAGCTCAACGGATTGATAATCACTCGTATGTACAGGAATTTACTGCTGGTTTGGACATGAAGGGGTTATTTGGGCCTGAGCACCCAACGGTGCGAGGATCCGATTAAAACTGAGGGAATTCATTTTCTCTCAAATGAATCCCTTTTTTGAGAGGCGCCCCAAAACTCACCAAACTCTGCACACTCTCAGCAGAACTGGTGAAAAATCAGAGATGACGTGCTGCGCTCCTCTGCCCTGAGTTGAATATCTTTCAACTTGAGGAGTTCAGAGCGCTCCGGCAAAAATGCCAGGCGTCGAGAGCGCAGAAAGTCGAGGCGTGTAGAAAACAAAAACAGCGAGCAAAAAGCTTCATTCTCATTTACAACTGTTCCAAAGAGCCGCCTCCAGCTGCTAAAATGCTTCCTGGGATCTAGGCCTAAGTAGCCCTCCAGTGTCCATACTATTTCTGCTTGTTACATGCTACATTGTCAATTTGAAATAAACGTCCATTTCCACCAAAACTACTCCAGGTTTAGGCAACAAAACCATGTGGTTAGGTTTATAAATATACATTGGTTTAAAGGGAAATTTTGGTTTATTTCAACCTGTCTCCTATTGTCCTAAATTTGTTTCAAGTGACTAGTGACATAAAAATAATAGTTAGTTAGTTACCTTCAAGTGCAAAGTTAGTCCACTAAACAAGCTTTTTTTCCACAAAGACCGCCTCATATCGTTAGGATAAATGTCAGAGAACATATAGAAAACGACATGTAAACGTGTTGTCTTACCTTACCGGTGTGCTGCCATGTTTGTTTACCATTTAGCTCTGCTTTCCAAAGCGCGGCCGAAATATATCTCGCGAGCTCTAGATAAAGCCCAGCTGGATACTACTCCAGGTGGAGGTGTCTCGTCCTCGGTCACATCCAGACCTTGAAAATAAGGCTGCAACCGGTCCCATTCCTTGCAACAGAGGCATTCCTCTTCTGTGGGCACTGGGGCACAGCATTCACAGGTACACCACCAATCTCCAGAGCTACGCAGCCTTGCAGCAGCCATTCCTCCTCTCTCGTCCTCTACCTGTTGCGCCTCTCTCTCTCTCCTCCTCCGTTCTTCAATTTCACGAAGCTCTTCGTCAGTGTATTCTGGCTCAAATAAATAAGGGCGGCCATCAAACTCTGCAAAATCAAATTCCTCCTCCACAAAGTCGAAGTCTGGCAAAAAGTCAGCCATTATTCTATAAATCTTTCATAAAATAAATGAATGAACTTTTCAGGCTACTGTCCGGTTCTGCCTTCCAGCTGTTGCTGCTTGTTCTCGCGAGATTTCAGGCACGGTATGAGATCGCTGCTTGTTCTCGCGATATTTCGGCCGCGCTTTGGAAAGCAGAGCTAGATGGTAAACAAACATGGCAGCACACCGGTAAGGTAAGACAACACGTTTACATGTCGTTTTCTATATGTTCTCTGACATTTATCCTAACGATATGAGGCGGTCTTTGTGGAAAAAAAGCTTGTTTAGTGGACTAACTTTGCACTTGAAGGTTGCCCGTTCACTTACGTTTTAACAGGTCTGACGCTACTATGCGCCCCGGCTGTATCTAGGCTAACTGCTAACATGCTAACTATTATTTTTATGTCACTAGTCACTTGAAACAAATTTAGGACGATAGGAGACATGTTGAAATAAACCAAAATTTCCCTTTAAGTCTAGTCTTAAATGTGGAGACAGCAGAAATAATGAAAAATAATAAAAAAAAATAAGGTCTCTTTTTTTTTATTTTGATGTATGTACAGTTTACATGTTCATAGAACAAATTATTCAGTTTGTCTTCAAAGAATAGTGAATATGATCAAATATTCTGGCGGTGCCTGGCAACGTGAAAATAATACACTCACAAAAGCCATCTGGGTTCCTCTTTCCACTGTTTCAGCAATCACCATTTCTGGTTTGGTTGAAATAAATCCTTACTTCATCCAGTTAGATGATAAAGGATGCTGCCTCTACATGCTAAAATTACTGTTTACACTTTAACACGGAAGTCTATCTCTGTAGGGATCCTTTCCATAATTTCATTAGACACTCACAATAATAATCTGAGCCCGTCTGTGGCAAAACAAACACTTCTGGTGGACATACATTGAGGGTGCATAATTGCCCCATGTGATTATATTGCAGCCTGTTTCGCTGCTGCAGACTGCTGCCCTCTTGCTCAATACTGGACCCGCTTCAACAGATATTGTTCCTGTTAGTCACTTAGACTCTAACATGTGGGAACACAGCATCCAGGTTGAAAAATACCAAAGTTACCCTTTAACTATGTTATGTAGTTTAAAAGAAACTCAGCACTGACTTCTGTTTCACACAGGACACAAACAGCGGTCTCCCGGGGGAAAGTCCTGTCTGTGTTTCATAACTAAATCTAGTAACAAATTGTTTTTGTGTGTGTGTGGGCGTGTGTGGGTGTGTCACACCTCCTGCAGACTACTCTCTTCCTTTTTCGCTCTCACACACCCACACACACACACTCACAGTCCCTGTAAAAGCTGTTCCACCAGTCGAACAGATCACTCAGCACAACACCACAACCCTGCAACGCGACACGCCCATCTGTCTCTCCCTCTGTCTCTGTCTGATGTCATCATGAGCTCAACACACATCTGAACTCCGGCACGGCTTAAAGGAACGACAGAGGAAAAGGAGAAAACTTTACTGAGGTGTGGAGAAGAAGAGCGTTCCAACAGGTACTGACACAGTAACAGGAGCACACTGCTCATCAGCTTTACTGTAATGACTGATTTAACTTTGCCTGTGTGTGTCAGCCAAACCTGAGTATGATCTGCAGTCACAGCACTGCTGCTGCAAAAACTACAGGTTTTCACTCACAGCAGATCTGCTCCTTTAGTACGGCACCAGCAGAACGTTTGACAACTTCTGAAATCCTATATTTTGATTTTCCTGATGCGTGTAGTCAGGACTCAGAGTTTCACGTGCCTCACTGGAATATTTCCTCAACATGTCTGTCTCATCAGCCATGTCATTTTAATCCAGTAAAACACAGGCCCACGTCAACACTGAGTCAAACCATCAGACTGTTTTGGTGTCTTTAACATTTGTGGCAACTCAAGCAACAGATTGAAATCTGAACTCTTCATTAGACTTTTTAACTTTTTACCAAGCGTTACTTAATATTGTGTCGTTACTGTAAAGTCTAAGTGGTGGAACACGCCAGTAACAAAGTAGAGGAACGTTAAAGGTCCAGTGTGAAGGATTTAGTGGCATCTAGCTGTGAGGTCACAGAACTCTGAGAACTACGGTGGCTGAAGCACAGATGTGACTGGCCTTAACTAGAGCAGTGTTTGGTTTGTCTGTTCTGGGCTTCTGTAGAACATGTTGGACTTTGAAAGAAATGAAAAACACAACAAATCTTAGTGTGTTTTTACACTTGGTCCTTTTCAGCCTGTTAAACGCAGTATATGTGAACTCGGACCATGTTCGCTTCATGTCTGCGGTGCGGTGCACGTAACCTGTAGCCTGTGAACCCAAAGTGCTCCTGGTTCTCTTTGCTCTTTGACCTTTGTATTCAGCCCTTTAGATCAGTGGCTCTATAATAGTGTGCCGTGATGCCAGTCCAGGTGTGTGGTGGGATTTTGTGATAACTACACATTATTATTGCAACATTCAGTTGGGCCTCTACAAAAAGTTATGGATAAACTTTTAACTGATCGATTAGTGTGTTGTGTGCACTCATTTCCTAACAAAGATGCAAACTCTGGCTAAAAAAATGTAATTTAATTTAATTTGAAAAACCTTGGAGGGGAACCTGTTCGTCGCCGTTTGAGCGTGGGCATTATTAGTGTGTGACACATCAAAAGCTCTGACTGGCAGCCAGTGTGAGGGTTGATAATGAATCGCTTTATTGTACGGAGCAAATTACAACAAAGACGACCGACCACCGAAAGAAAAGAGAAAACAGACAGTAGACAGCATCACGAGAGCTACCTGTCTTCTTTTTTCTTATTTGCATTGTCTTATGTGGAGATAAGAGTGATAACACTTGTTATAGAAGGTACTGTGCACAGATATAAATACAGGTACACAGTGAGATTTTGGCTCACCCTGTGGTGTGCTTTGGGCACAAACAGTTTGAAAACCACTGCTCTAGATCGCATGCTGCTGACCTGGGGCGCTGTCAAGGACGCAGGACGAGGAGTAGTCTGGTCCATGGAAGATACTGCACGTCTCCAGATGTGGAATATAGAACACATCAAACGTAGAGAGTCTACAGCAAAAACGGAAACATCTCATGTTCTCCTCCAGTTTTAAGTTCATCTGCAGCGCCACGTCAAAGTAAAGACAAAACTATGCAGGCTGTAGTGTGACCAGAGAGAGGACTGAGGCCCTTTTCGGTTAGTCCACTTTTTGGTGCACTTTCAGGGTGTTTTCCACATAAAGTCCTTTTAAAACAAACCAAGCTCAGTCCTCTTAAAGTGCACCAAAAAGAGACTCAGTTCTTTTTGTGTTCACACTGTCAGTTCATTTGAAAGAGGACTCAGTCCTCTCTCTGGTCACACTACAGCCTACATAGTTTTGTCTTTACTTTGATGTGGCGCTGCAGATGAACTTAAAACTGGAGGAGAACATTAGATGTTTCTGTTTCTGCTGCAGACTGTCGACGTTTGATGTGTTCTACATTCCACATCTGGAGACGTGCAGTATCCTCCATGGACCAAACTACTCCTCGTCCTGCGTCCTTGCAAGTGTCGACACGGTATCGTCTATTGTTTCAAGCATGGCAGGTCAGCATCATGTGATCTGGAGGGCTGAATACAATGACAAAGAGCAAAGAGAACCTGGAGCACTTTGTGTGCACAGGTTGAGTGAACCTCACCGAGGACTTGAATCAAACTGAATGTGTTGGGTTCACTTCAGAGAGGTCTGAGTGTTCTTGAAGTGTTTTTGGTTTGTTGACAAAGGACTACATTAGAAACACCATGGGTTTCAGGTGCTGATGAACTAATGAAAACATAGTCATGAATATTCTATAACATCTGACAACAGACACCCCTGGAACTTCAATGTTTGATTTGTAACCAAGATACACTATTAGATCGTGCACATGCGGACTCCTTGTCCACAAAATCTAAAATGTACTTCGGATCAGGGGCTGTGTGTTAATTAGATCTTAGTCACTTGTGTTCTTCCAGGTTCCTGGGCCAGAGAGAACACACTCTGACCTCTGGAGCACACAGTGAAGGAACATGAATCTGGCTCCATCCTGTGTGCTGCTCTGACTGGTGACAGTGACGTCTCGTAGACTGTAACTGAAACAGCAGAGTCTTAATTTGTCGCCATCGAAAGTGGGAAAAGAACAACTAATCAAATAAGATACAGACTGACATGATTGAAAGCCACTTAGCACATCATCCAGACATGTTTATCCAGCAGTTTCACAACAATTCACACCTCCAGTCATGAGACTCTTAACAACCCCTCTGTCCTGTGACCTTAATGACCTGAGTCTCATGTCAGGGTGTGAATTACTATCGAAACCTCCAGCAGTCACGTGCACAGATGAAGCCTCTCAACTCAGTGCCGGCATGTTTTCAAGACTGCTGTTACCTGATTCATGCTGCACATACTGTCACATTGTGCTGTCACATTATGCTGTCACATTATACTGTCACATTTGGACTGAAAAATTCCAAATGATTCTTTGTTTTAAAGATGATCTCCAAATACGCACAAATAAAACAACCTGCTTGGAGGCTTGTCAGTGTAGGGATACACCATCACGTTCTCACTCCAAGTCATCACATACAGTGGTGTGAAAACGTTTCGGCACTCCTGGTCAAATATTTGTCTGCTGTGAGTGGTTAAGCAAGGCATAAAGCTGATTATATTTTTACTTTGAGTCATTTACACTTTCAAAATAACAGAAGAATGAAAAGGGCCTGAAGCAACAGTTTGGACACCCTGCATGGTCAGTGCTCAGTAGCGCCCCCTTCTTCTAAACGTCTGACGCTGAATGTTGTGGTGAGGACACAGGAAAGGTTTTCTTCTGATGACTCTTCCATGAAGCTCATATTTGTCCAGGTGTGTCTGCACAGTAGAACAGTGCACCACCACTCGAGAGTCTGACAAACCTTCCTGCAGGTCTTTTGCAGTCAAACAGAGGTTTGATTTGCCTTTCTAACAATCCTACGAGCAGCTCTCTCACAAAGTTTTCAGCTTGACCTCCACAGTTCCTGTTAACTGCCATTTCTTACTGACATGACCAACTGAGGAAACAGCTCCCTGAAAACACTTTGCTATCTTCTTATAGTCTCCTGCTCTGTGGGTATCAGTTATTTTACAGGAATGCCCCGTAATTAACAATATTAAGTGTGTTTGGATATTCTAAGCAATCAGCCAGTGATGTTGCTCCTTCTCATTCTCTTTGTTCTCTCCTGCTGCTTCCCAGTATGGGCTCTGGCCAGAGCAGTGACAAATTATACTGCAACCGCTATCTGAAGGGACAGGGTCCTCCATCACTGGTACAACAAGGTCCGTCACACACATGTGCAACAATTTGATGCATTTATCAAGCTTTCCATGATCTCATATTCACGTCTGGATAATTTGACTAAAACTAGCGTACTGTCTGTGCAGCTAATGCAGAGGTGAATGGGATGCACAGAAGAAAAGGCTGCCAGCCAGAGGGCCAGATGACCTGGGTGATCCTCCACAGAGACCTGCCGGGATTCCCTGATGACAACACCTTGCAGATAAACTACATATTCCCAGATGGAATACAGACAGTAAGCTTGGCTAAAACCATACTGTAAATATATTCAAAGAGTTACTGTGATTCACTTTCAACTAAATATCTAACAATTGGGGATGCATGGTGATAATGGCACATCATTGGTACCACTCAGTATCTGCTTTAAAATGAGCAGGGCAACGGTTCAGAGAATGCATGTATTTGTTTGTTGTGTATTTTTGAAAATAGCACAGAACATAAGTATTCACAAGAAACAACCATATTTTATCTCCTTACAGTCAACAGTCAGTGATCAGTCAGCTTGTTTATGAAAGAAACACTTGGGTTGCCATAAAAGTACAATAACTGCATCACATCAATCTGAATTATACGACAACACAATTTCCTGCGCAAAGAACAAAACAAACTCACAAATAAAATGAACATGCAGTAACACAAGAGGCGAAAATCACCCAACAGACGCAGACATATAAACAAAGAGTATCATTTGATTTGAATGAAAGACACTGAGAGAGCTCAGAGTGGAGCGCAGGTTTTTATGGGCAGCATTCCATTCACGAGAGAAGCTGATGATCTGGTTTGTCGGGTTGGCACAGCTCCAGGAGGAAGTGCTGAACACTGAAGCAGCAGCGCAGGGTTCACACTGCAGGAGGAGGCGTGCTTGGAATGTGTGGCACCACTCATGGCACTTTAAAAACAGATCAAGATAAGCTTTGTTTTGCATTTCTATGCATATATCAAGTCCATTAAAAAAACAGATTACCTGCTACTGTAACTGATCCAGCTACCTCGAATTCCCAGGTCTGATACAAAAAGTAAAGTAGTATGTTTAATGTAAAGTCCTGGAGGTTAGGTTAAGGCAAGTAGAGTTACTGTGGTTAGGGTTAGGAAAGGAAACATGGTGAGGAGGTCACTTAAAATGTTGTGCACTCTCCTTGGTTAAATCCTGTGTTTAGTGACCGTCCACATCCCCCTCCCTGCCTCCTAAGGCCCTGCTCACACAGGAAGTGTTTCAGCAGCTGGAGGCGACTTTTTGTAATTGTTTTTAATGAGAATGAAGCTTTTTGCTCGCTGTTTTCGCACCTCGTGTTTCTGCGCTCTAGATGCCTGGTGTTTTTATTTCTAGAATTCTCTCTCTCCTCTCTCACACTCTCTGCACAGCTCTGCCCTACTCATTCACTCACAAGTCCTCCAGCGACGCCAAGAGAGAGACACAGAGCTGCTCCTCTGTTATATCTGTTTATTAGTCTACAGTGTGACATCTGTGTGTGTGTGTGTTTCACATGCTACGCTAAATCAGTGTGTGAGATGACTGAAATAAGTGCAGCGGCACACGTGTGGTACAGTGCTGCGCTGTGTGTGTGTGAGACAGAGCTTCTTGATTGTGTCAGGTGAGCATTTGCTTGCTAGTATGTGTGTTAGGTGGATCATCCCTGTTCTTATTGGTAGTTGTAGTTTGTCATGTGACACTGAGACTGGATGTGTTTAGAAAAATGCAGATGTTTTTACAAGACGTATATAATGAGGACAAAGTGTCTCTGTCTCCGTCCCTCCCTCGGCCTCTCTGTTGGTGCTCTGTACAGAAATAAGATTAATAGTCTAAATAAATAAAAACATTTAAAACTAGCTGACCTATTACATCACAGACCAAACAAGTTAGCTACGGTTAGCTAGCAACATACTGACTGGCACTGAACATCTCTTCCTGCAGGAGCAACACCCTCACCCCGGCCAGCCTTACGCCGGGCTGCGGCTCTGCGCTTATCTGCCTGACAACCGCGACGGCAGGAAGGTTCTCAAGCTGCTGGAGAAGGCCTTCAACCAGCAGCTCCTGTTCACTGTCACTACCAAGACAAACGGAGAGGACATGGTCACCGCGACTTCCATCCCCCAAAAAACACAAGCAGACGCAGGAAACGGAGTGTGAGTACATAACCAACCACAGTCTTCCCCTGCTGCCCAATAATAATGTTTCTGTGACCTCTGTCTACGACCAGCAGTTATTGTGAGCTGAAGCACTGCGATGGTGTTCCTCTGAGGTGCAATTGTTGTTACCATGGTTACAGCTTGCCTGTATGTTGCTGCAAGGCTGAACTCCCAGTCTTGTTGTTGTCACGTCTCATCAAAGCCCCATACATTTTACATTTTACATTTTACAAAACCAACTGCTTCAGTATTATCTGCCTTAAATCGAAATGCCTCCATGCCCTCAAATTCCCTGCATTGTAGTCTCAGACTTGAGAACCGACAAATTTTGTTGGATGTCCTCCATCTTTAGCGAGGCTACATGAATATTTATCGCCTGAAATAGCCTGTGTTGTGTTCATGTGTCATGTGTTGTCACTTAAAGAGATAGTGCACCCAAAAATGAAAATTCAGCCATTATCTACTCACCCATATGCCGAGGGAGGCTCAGGTGAAGTTTTAGAGTCCTCACATCACTTGCAGAGATCCAAGGGGAGAGGAGGTAGCAACACAACTCCACCTAATGGAGGCTGACGGCGCCCCAGATTCAAACGTCCAAAAACACATCA